ATACGTTCATGCATCTTGAGACTACCCTGTCGTGTAAATGTCTTTTCACAAATAGTGCACTTGTATGGTTTGACACCTGTATGGATACGTTCATGTATCGTTAGATACGACTGTTTCGTAAATGTCTTGTCACAGCATGTGCACTTGTAAGGTTTGACGCCCATATGAATACGTTCATGTCTCGTTAAGTGGTTCTCCTGTCGTCTAAATGATTTGTCACAACATGTGCACTTGTATGGTTTGACATCTGTATGTATACGTTCATGTATTTTTAAATTATCCTTTCGTGCAAATGCCTTGCTACAGTTATCATTCTTGTATAGTCTGACACTCGTATGAATACGTTCGTGCTGCTCTAACTGACTATGTCGCGTAAATGCTGTGTTACATGTATGACATCTGTGTGTTTCTTGATTTAAATTTAATTCCTTGTGTTGATCATCGTGGTGTTTATCATCATAATTACTGCTTACAGTGCTCCTGATATCTTTTTGTTCTACACAAGAGGATGTTTCTCCATCGATATCCCTACCATCACTTGTACTCCCAAGACAATTCACGCCATGTCCATCGAATTCCGTTGATGAAACTGATGTACCGAAATCTGCGCATGTGGTTTGATCATTTTCTGCAGGTGGACAGTTCTGCATTTCAACGATATTCTCAATGGAACTTGAAGTGCACCCTTTTATGTGGTCTGTTTGTGCACCTTCACTGTGGACCCCTTGACGCTGTGACGAAACATTTTATTATGTTATTCAAAGGTTTCTGGAGATCACATCCAACATGATCACCTGCATGAGTTAGTGGTCTATTTTGCACAAACATTGTAGTTCTTTTTCCACAAGCTTAGCGCAATGTTACACTGCCATGTTCAGAATATAAGGACAATTGATCACCTTCAAGATAGGACAGGTGACAGAATGCATATGCTATATCAGCAATAGAGAGACCCTTTTACTTTGCTAACCCTATAGGCTTACTATGTCAGGTATATTTATTTATCCAACACAGTCAAACCAGTTTATGCGTTCCTATAAATGTTTGAAGTATTAGATCATTATTCGAAATTTTATTTCAAGATTCTTTGGAAACTAGCATTACAGCGCTTCTCAATCACACGCTTGTAATCGTACAATTTGGAGTTGTAACGAAGTAGGTTTTGGTGGACGTTAATTAAGGCGTTTTACAACATTCCATACACATGTGCCTTTCAAAGCTTTGTGTTTACCGGCAATGTCATGGAAACACTTTAGTCGACGTCCACTAAGGCCCCGTCCACACGTATCCGGAAATTTGTGTATTCGCACATTTTTTTTTTCCTTTTTTTTTTTTTGCGGATACGGGTTGCGTCCACACGTTTCCTGAAATTTTTCTATCCGTATCCGGAAATTTTCGAAAACGGCCTCAAGATTGGAATACGCTCCGAATACGGATACGTGTGGACGGTCGTATCCGCAAATTTTCGAATACGCTGACGTAAAAACGATTTTGCGCATGCTCAATAAGAAAAACTATCCGTCAAAGGGACTAGGCAGTCCAGTGTTCTCACCAGGCCGCGCCATTGCGGGATTCGCACATAAAAATCAGAAATGGCGCACAAATGTCAAATCTATGCGCCCCCAAGGGCGCATGAATTATCCAAAGAATACTTCCTGATAGTTTTAAAAGATTTAGAGTACTTTTGAAATAATAAAAGTCGTATTATATTGTCGATAAACAAGGTAAAAGTCCACATGAAACGCCACGAATCGAACATAGCCGCCATCGCCAAGACGTCTGGGATTAGTCTGTGTTAACTGCCCTTGTTTATTGATGGCCCAAGTATGGCTGCCCAGCGAAATTTTATTGTGTTTTCATTACTAATAAAACTGTCTTACATTGTTGTAGATTTGCAACAGAGTTACTGGCTAAAAACATTATTATTCGTCGTTTTAAGATTTTGGCCCATCCAGTTTTCTAAATGGCCCCTAAATTTCGGATTGGTTGGCCCTTTGACCCCCTGAAAGAAATTCCTGGTAACAACACCGAGGCACTAGCGTGCATCAGGGCGGATCAAGAAATTACCGGATACGTGTGGACAGTGAAAACGTTTCGAAAACGATTCGAATACGTTGCGTGGACGTGTGGACGGGGCCTAAATCCTTATTTTGTAGCGATAGAATTTTTTACGAAGAAAGACTGTAACTTCATAATCAAGGTAAGGACAAAAACATACAAATAGTTGGGGGGGGGGGGGGGGGGGGGGGGGGGGAGAATGTCAAGAAAAGGTGTAAGGTGATTCTAACTCGAGAAAAATCTCTCAGACTTGGTTGAAGGCATTGTCAACAGG